TCATCATCATCATCATCATCATCATCATCATCATCATCATCATCATCCGTTGTTACTGGTATATATTAGGATAGACCCTATATGTTTGTGAACCGGCCAGGCGACCTGCGCGCGGCCATCCAGAGCTATGCCAAGAGCTTGGAACTCTTCGGAGAGAAGACCACTGAGGCCCTGGTAGTTTGTTTCACCATGTTTCACCTGTGACGTGGACCCGCGGGCGTGTTCACGAGCGTGTGGGATGCAGCTTCAGTCGTGTGGGATGCAGTTTTGCAGACTTTTGGGGGATGCAGCTTCCGTCAAGGCCATTTTGCACGTCCATCTTTCGCGCATGTTCGATCACGTGATCGGCGTCACGGGAATCTTCCCTAGGGATCCGGTCGTACCTTTTGACTTCTCGGGTTCGGTACGACTGGACCCGACCCTGGCACCTACATGTCTCAGTGATTCTCAGTGTCTCCGTCCTCACCTAACTTGAGAAGGTACGAAAACTGATCCCAAACGGGCTTGGGAGACTTCCAACCTGCTCCCCGCTGTGCCTGGACAGGACTGCCTGGCGGAGCTGCCAGAGCTCCCGAACGCGCAACGACTGGAGCAGGTCTTGGCCACGGCGCGCCAGGACCCTTTTGGCGCGCGCCACGGCCGGGGAGAGGTGAGTTGAAGGCAGAGATTGGGGCCGAGTGATTTGTGGAGATTTGGGAGATTAACCTCCCTCCCACAATCATGGAAGTGGATAGCCCCTTCTTGGTAGAGGAAAGTAGTCTTCCCAGCTCGAGAGAGCCAGGTTTTGGGATATGTTTGGTTCGTGTTTGTTTGGTTGATGTTTTTGACCCTCCCCCACAAACATGGAAGTGAGTGAGCCACTGCCTGTTTTACGGCCATGCCATCCACTTACATGATTGTTTCAGGGAGAGTGTGTACATATATTATGTCTCTGTGTGTGCACCCATTTTTTGGAGTGCTAACTGGTTTTGTATACAAGGACCAGGGACCCTTTCCAGTGAGCTTTGCTTGACTTTCAGGGTTGTGGAAAGCAGACTTGTCCTCTATAGAGTTTTGAACACGTAGTCTGGCTGGACTCATTATCCCAAGCCTTTTAAGTCCTTTCCATTTGAGCTTTTCATTAGCATTTCTTGGGGTTCGGGGTGGCGAGGAGCTCGCACAGCTAGTGCACCTGGCAGAACAGGCGAAGGCTCGGGGAGCAGACGTGGCTGTTGGTGCGTTACACCTGTGGCCAAGTGCCACGATGCGGGTATGAGGGAGAGACCGAGTCAAATGGGTTTGGCTACGGTGTCTACCTTCCCTCTTCAAATGGGTTCGAACTGGGAGGTCTCACTAGTTTTTGATACACCAGACCCAGTTGGATATTTTGGATCCTTGCTGATCTCGCGGCACCATTCCGCTTCCCAAAAGGTTTTATCTGGTTCTCTGAGGCTGGAAGGGATTCCGAAAAAAGACGTCCTATCACCGGTGTCTCAAGGAAGTGGATGTGTGGATGTTTAGTGCAACGTCGCCCATGGGAGAATCTTCAAGAATCGCCCCATGAACTGGCAGAGATGCTTTGTCCCTGGTGGTTTTGCAACTTGGAAAGCCTGTTTTGCTTGCTTCCCTGTTGCAGGCATCAGCTGGATATGCTGAGGGCTGAGAGGCTCCTCTTTGTGCAGGCTTCACAAAGCAACACTGCAGAGCGTCGGGAATAAGCCACTTCAACCCATGGCGATGAATATTGTGATGTGATTTAACAGTTTTTGTTGAAAGACGTCCGATACATGACAGCCCCTGTGAAAACCCCATGTTTTGTCTCCCTGATACCTGAAGAGGTTTTTGTTGATACCTGAAGAGGGATCAGATGCCCATCGCAGGTGAAAAAACCACTGTCCCCATCGCATCGGACGTTGTGACGGACGAAACTGACGGCCAATGGGATCCATCGATCAACAGCGCCCAACGAAATTTACTGAAGCCTTGGTGCCATATTGGTCAAGGGATTTGTTTATATATATATATAACTATATATATATATATCAACGCATTACTACATCAGTTAAAAACCATTTGATTCAGATGGGTCATGGCCCAGGGGTGGTTAGTTTATACTGAAGGCCACCTACTTAATTCACAAACCCAGGGGTGGTTAGTTTATGCTGAAGGCCACCTACTTGGAGTTCGCTGCTGAAGGTCCAGTCTGCAAGCAACACATTGACTGGTGCAGGATTTAGTACCAACGGAACATCGTAGCAAAGCCTCCGCTACCTGCCAAAGCCCTACAGTATAGAACCTAAAGAGCATCTAGTAGAAATTGATGGTAGAACTGTAGAGCCCCAAGAGCAGCTTCCTTTCCCTTTGCCAACCGTGAGAATACATAAGTTGCTTGGGGGTCCATTGCCGTCCTCAGATCTTGGGCGCGGTGCAAAGCGCAGACCATCGCAGAAAACGCTTCCGCCGGTCCGCAGAAACTGACAGCGCGTTCCAAGTTTTGGAAGATGAGAGCGACAGATTGAATGGAGCTTTCGTTGAGACAACCACCGTGTCACACCAACCAAGAAGGTCAAGTGACCTGAACTAGGACCCTCATGACTGGGGTAGATGAACAAAATCGTCGACATGGATGTCTATGGATGTCGATGGGGTTCTTCAACCTTTGTTGGAAGTCTCGGTGGAATTTTGGGATATGTCACACCATGTGTTTCCTCCAGACCTATCGAAGGGGGAAGTATGTGGAAGTGGAAGGCAGAGTCAGTGCTTTCAGGAAAGTTGATTTTGATATGTTAGGATGAGTTCTGTTGGAACAGCGGGAACAGCTTCTAGCACCTTCCGCCTTAAAGAGACTTCAAAACCAAGAGGTTGATGCAGACACACCAGCTTGAATGATTGACTGTGGATGAAATTGGTGAACTCTTAAGACTCCCAAGCTCTCAGCCTGAAACTAATGTCACAGAACCTGGATGGAAACGGCGCTAGGACATGCGACGAAATGTGCAAAACAAGTTACAGCTACCAGCACCACGGAAAGAGTATACTGTAGGTTGTAGACACCCTTAACTACGTATGTTCCTTCCAAGAACCACCCTTTCTTTGGGTGGGGCTGGCATTATGTAATTCAATTATGTGGCTTTTGTGTTTCCCCTTGGGGTCTCTCACTCCAGCATGTTTTGATGACGTCAAACGCTAAAAGTAAGATGTCAAATCTCACCCGCCATGTTCAGATGGCTGTTTGGTCCGTTTTGTGTTCCGAACACGAAGGACTACTTGTGGACACCCTATTTATGGTACCATCAGGGCCCCATACCTGCATTAACCTGCATGAAACCACCCAGTCCCTGGATCTTGGACCCGGTCTCGAGCGCCATGTTCTCATGGGTGGTGGGTCCAGGTGGAGTGGGTCCAGGATCCCGGTAGACATGGGAAGCATGAAGAAACGGCTATTCCTTTGGAAAGGATTTGCTTTAGCGATTGCCCCATTGCCACACAGAGAGCCAGAGAAGTGCAACAGATTCTATAGATTGCTGAACCTTCATGGATATCTCAAAGCGATTGAGAAAAAGCAGGATCAAGCAGGGTGCCAAATGGGTGCACGAAGATACCCATACGACTGGAACTAATACGACACTGGTCGTCCACCATGGTGGAAGCACTACTGGACACCGAGGTCGACCTCGACACCGCCGCGCGACCCGCAGGTTCAGGCCGCGGATGTGGGGACGTGAGGTGCCCTTTAGGGGACCAGATGAGAGAGTGTAAAAACCCCCCATGTAAGAAAATTAGTATTCGCATGTCCGTTTTTCTGGAAGCATGCTCAATCCCCTGTAAAACGATAAGGAAGCAAAAAAAACGATAACCCCCGATGACTCTTGTGCAAAACCCTTGACATGCGAGACGTGGTATATGCTTGGACAGAGGTGGAAGGGCTTGGTCCGCTGTAGCCTTGTGCTGCAGCATTGTCGTGCCACATGGTTTTCCAAGTTGCACAAGGCATGAAAACGATAACAAAATGATAACAAAAACGATAACACAGCGAGCCTAAAACACCTTTCCGTAGGCAGGCCACCACATGGGTGTAGTTGGAATGAAGTGTGCCTAATGTATTCATATCTGCAAGGTTCCACACACCACAAGCATGTAGTGCACACACTACATCACACTGTACCTAAATTATAATGTTACTACATTTGTTGCAGTTAGTCAAAGTGTGTAAAACGATAAGGAAGAAAAGAAGACGATAACGTCAAAAGTGGTATAGGGAAAGGGGGGGTTTTACACAACCTCAGATGTTAAACAGAGCTGAAGGAACCTCTTTACAAATATACTAACTACAAGATTCTATTCTATTTCTCAGCTCAAAAAGTCTGCAAAAAGAAGAACACAGACACACACACACACACACACACACCCCTTGTTGGCGCCTCGCCCACCCCGCGATCTCAGTTTTTTCGGCTTCAAAAGCGAAGCGGCTGGGGCGATCCGACCATGGCGAATCTAAGCACTGCCATCGCCCTGGTGCTGTACACTCTGCTCGTGATCACGACCGCCACCGGCCACCTTTCTCAAACACATCCGTGGACAAAAACGGCGGGGACTTTTTTACACAGCCGGGCTGTTTCAATATAGGGCTGTAAGTTAGGCTGCAGAGGGACCTTCCCTGCCAGTGTTGAAGCGTTCAGGATGTGAGTTCAGCAGGGTTCAGCCCCAAAAAAAGACCTTTGGCAAGGGGC